CCGTGGCAGAAAGTTACTATATTTAGTAACAATTGCGCAATTTTTTGCACGCTGACCGTGGCATTTTGTGGCTGTGATCGCAGCTTCGAATTTACGACTGTTTTCCGAATATATTCGGCACAATTCGGCACGCTTTCGGCGGTTTTTATAGTTCAGTGTTTAACTGGATAATTATACTATTGAACAAGGAATATATTTCGGACGTTTTTCCTGCTTTTAGCACATATATATTACTGTAATATGAGAACAATTACGAAAGATATTATATTCAAATTGTTTGCTATAGACCTATATTTGCTCAATTTTGCTGTATTTCAAATAACTAATATATACTTCTTAAAAATGCGTAAGCAGTCTAATGTAGTATCCAACAAAGGTGAACCCCGGAAAATCTTAGGTGGGAAAAATCTGACCGTGGCTCGAGCCACTTTTGCCACGGTCTGGATCCGCGCCTGTTCCTGGGAATGATCTCTAACGCAGCTGTGTCATCGACAAACTTTGTCCTTAAATGCCAGTCAGATATTAGCTTATTTGTCATAACCGAGAAAAGAATAACACCAAGTTTAGTTCCCTGAGGTATACCACCATTTGGGGATGTCCAGTCTGACAAAGTCCCCCCTATTCTGACAGTTTGTTTTCTATTAGAAAGAAAAGCGTTAATCCAATTATATAAGACAGGATGAATATCCAATTCCATCAGCTCCTTCATGAGAATATGGTGGTCAATACGGTCGAACCCTTTGCTAAAGTCGGCAAAAAAGAAACGAGCACAAGCATTTCCGCTATCGAGGGCCTCGTATAGACGGGTTGAAGCAAAAATAGTAGTGCATTCGTAGTGGAGTGACGCTTACGAGCAAACTGACAGGGGTCAATTTTTCGTGTCAGCTGTATAGAAGTCTCCTACAGAAAAATCCCTCCATAATTTTAGCCAAATTGCATGTTAGGGGTTAAGGACGTAAGTAGCTTTCAATAGACACTTCCCGAATTTGCTTGAGTGCACACGAAACAATAGCTTGGAATCGAGGCGGACAATGTAATCCATTGGAAAACTATACTTATTTCCAATGGATTACATTGTCCGCCTCGATTCCAAGCTATTGTTTCGTGTGCACTCAAGCAAATTCGGGAAGTGTCTATTTATTTAGGTGGGGTTACTTTAGGTATGGGAGATATAATTGAGGATTTAAGTAAATCTGGGATATATGCTTCCTTAATGGACTGATTGTAAATATCCTGAATGACCGGAGAAAGCTCCGTAGCAAATTCCTTTAATACTTTATTTGGGAGTTCGTCCGGTCCAACAGATTTGGCTACTTGTAGAGATGACAATGATCGATAAACCTCTGCTTTAGACACAAGGAACTCGTTTGGGACATGCTGAGTTGGACAAAGAGGCGATAACGGTGAAAAGGTCTCAGTTATGCTCAAGAAGAAGTCATTGACTCTATCTGCGAATATCTTAACATTCCCATTGTCACCAAGAAATTGATAATGCCACTCCTGTTGAATGTCTTGTCCCATAAGCTTTTTATTTGTTTCCACCATTTCCGGGGGTTAGTTAGTCTGTCACAGTTCTGCAACTTTATGTTTATAATAATGTGACTTGGCCGCTTTAATTTCCCTTTGAATTTTATTCCTCCAGTGTTTATATATGTCTTTGGAATGCGGTTTGGCGTTTTCTGATCCATATCTTGAGTTTATTTGTTATCCATGGGCGACTTGTTTGGTGAACTTTTACTGTCCTTTGTGGGAGATAGCAATCGACACCTTGCTTTAACTCTGTGATGAATAGTTGGAACTTATCTTCCCAGGAGGAAGTATTAAGGACTGGGTTCCAGTCTTTCTGGGTTATCCATCGACCAAACTCACGCCAGGCACTATCCCTCATATCAAGAGAAATAATTTTTTAGTTACTTTGTTCTTCTTAGGTCCTAGAAGTGGTTTCGCCAGTATTGTGAAATGATCGGAGGATGCAATTTTAGGTAACTGAGACAATTCAAATAACCTAGTCCGATTTGTCAGAAACCAATCCAGGATACCAGAATCCCTTGTCTTAAAAGTGACAAGTTGTTTGAGATGATTTGTTTGAATCAAATCTTTCGATTTCAATCCGGTTGACGTTGGATTAAAGTCGCCAGTAAGTATTACAATCGCATTTGGCTGATTAGCTAATAGGTTGTCAAGGTTACGTTGAATGTATGATTTACGATAAGGGACCTTTCTTAGTGCTCTATGATTAGTTACTGTATTTCTTGGAGGTACTAGTTGACGGTTGGTTATTCTAACCGGGATGGTTTCAGACTCATTATCTAAACGATTAGAAATTGGACCAAAAGATGTATATGCCAAGTCAGGTATTACGTTCTGGTTCTGGTTATTTGGTTGACTAGGTGCAAATGTTTGAGCCAGTCCACTGTTTGAAATTAATTTCACAAATTACTTCCTCATTATTTGTTAATTGTAACATTTGATTTTTATTTCAAACATTAAGGAGATTATTCGTCAAGTCAGCAGGTACATTTTTTTTCTGAGCCACAATGGGCAATTCAGTGCCACTCATCACAACAGGCGGTTCAATATCACTCACCACAACAGGTAGTTTAGTATCACTCACCACAATTGGCGGTCCAATGCTGTGTGCCGGCCTCGGCAGGCAAATCAATATTTTGCTCAGATCGACAACAAGTATCGAAAGTGAACAGTGAACTCATTCTCCAAACACGATACAATAACAAGTTTTAATTTAAAGTTTTGGTAGGTCTCTCACGGACAAATACACGAAAAACCCGGTGGCAAATGAATCAAATGAGAAGCCCGATTATTCAATGCTTTTATATTATTAATACATTTTGTCGCCTTATAATAAAATACTATATTTTAATGTCGTTGGTGACCATTGAGTTAACTATAAAGGCCTGTTTCAAACGTCGCGCTTCTCATGTGCCGAACGCATTTATAGAAACAAGCGAGGCCTAAAAGGTTTTTATAGGCTGTTAAATAGCTCCAGTAAACTATTAAAGGCACGTACACCGCTTTACCTCTAGACTTAACATCAAAACAGTCATTGCCTTGATTAATGTTCCCTCGGATAAAAATTGCCATAATTTGTAGATTGCTTCAGCGTCAGGTTGTGTATTTTTTTAAAAGTATAAGAAAGAAACACATGGGCATCATCCTGGCACTGTTTCCTGTGCGCCCGGCAAGCATAATTAATTTTCGTAACCCCCCTGAATTGCTGACATACAAACACAAAAAATCGAGATTCAAGCTGGTCTACTAAACTCGGCGCACGGAGACTGGTATTGTCGAGAATCGTGTGCTGCCTCGCTGAAGCTCGGCAGCAAGAATTACAAAACGGAGCTGCACAAATTATATCACTGGTAGAACATACGAAGTAAGTTCAGATGATAAAACAATGGTATAGGATAAACAAACAATACAAGTATAGGATTTCGGTATAGGATTTCATGCACAAAGTAAAAAATAAGTGAAAGTGAATAAAACGCAATTCAGTTGACTTCATAAATTTTGTCAAAGCGTGTTGCTAATCACTCCATAACAGTTTTGTAGAACTTGTGGACAAGCTGCCAAGCTGGGTAATAATTTGTCAACCTGCATGGATATATGAAGTAAAAGAATGAGCTTGAACAAAAAACTGCGCCTTTAACTTGCATTAGGCAAGTCAACCTGCATTAGGCAAGTCAACAGCACAGAATAGAGACATGCAGAAGGACGACTTCTTTACCATACCCGTTGCAACACTGTCGTCCCTAGCCAATGAGAGACATTCACCCCCTGAAAATATTCAAAATGGCAGAGGTTCTGAATGGCTAGGAAAGTGGCGACGAAAAATGAGATTAAGTATTATTGTGAATTATGGCGTTGGAGCAGTTACACTTTTGTGGTTGAGTCAACCTTCTGCATTAATTTTTTTTCAATTGTAATGACTTTATTAGCATGATCTATAATTACAAGATATTGCTAAAGTACTGTAGTTCCATCAATATAACTATTAACGTTCATAACTAACTAATAATAACATATTTTTTAACTTTATATTATTTACATATTGGTGATCACTATGAGAATATTTAAGATTACAAGATATATTACTATTTCAGGGTTTTAATTTAATATGTAGTGTCTATATCGGTTAAGGATTTTTTAAATTTTTTTTTAATACAATTTGTTTTAGGTATTATTTGTATTTCTGGCTTCAAAGTACTGATTCCGTTTTTCAAAACTAACTGTAATATATTTTGAAAAAACATTCAGTACTTTTGGATCACTAGATTTTATTATATTCACGAGGTTATCTTTTTTTGGTAGTCGAGTGTTTCGTTGCATTGTCTTTGTAATATATTGTTTGTGGTGTTTCTGTCTTCTCTGTAGTAGTTACAAGATAGTGCAAAGTGATATTCATCTTCAATTTCGTTTGTATCACAGAGATTACATAAGCGTTGTTCACGGGGGATGTTGTGATATCGACCGTATTCAATCTGTAACTTATGACAACTTATTCGAAATTTAGTTACTGCTTTTCTTTGAGATGTGTTTCTTATAGTTGTAAGGTAGTCCTGTAACTTATATTCAGATTTAAATGTGCTGTAGAAAGAGAGTTTGGAGGAATTGTCTAACTTATGTTTCCAAAAGGTGACATATTTATTTTTAGCATTGCTTATAAATTGACTTTGTTGATGAATAATAATACATCCTAATTCATTTAGTTCATCATTTACGTTAGTGTATGATTTAAGTATCTTCATGACATTGGAGTAAAATCTGGGTTTATTCAGTTCATAAAGTTCTTTGGAGATTAGGAATGCTTGTTTCACAATAGTGAAGTCAGGAAGGGTATTAATGTGAGCAAGGTATTTGATTATTCTTTTGTGTATGGTTATTAAGAGAGGAAATTTTCCTAATTCACCTCTACACGCTACATTTGTTGCTTTTCTATTAACTCCTAAGTATAGTTTGCAGAATCTGGAATGAACTTTTCTGTTTCGGATTGATCCCATTTATTAAGATCGCTATTAATGAATGCACCCCATACTTCTGAATTATATAGAAGTATTGGCGAGATAATACTGTCAAAAATTTTGATTGCTAGTTTTGGATTCAGTGAGTGAAAATCAACTTTTTTCTTTGTGCTGAACATAGCATGTTTTGCTTTATCAGCAAGTTGTTTCATTGCTATGGTAAATTTCCCATTGGTTGTAAGTTTAAGACCTAAATAGTTGTAATCTTGTGTTACTTGAAGTATTTTGTTTGCAAATAGAAATTGTGGAGTTTGTTGTTTTGACATTGGTTTCTGGAAAATCATAACTTTAGTTTTCTTTAAATTGACCTCCATCATCCACTTATTGCACCAGTTGTTTAACTGGTTTAAACAGCTTTGGAGGCCAATTTTCGATCTAGATAATATTATCAGATCGTCGGCATATAACAGACAATTCAGTTTTGTACCATTTGGGAGTGTGAGTGGGTCAGAATATTTGTTATCAAGCAATGATGGTATGTCGTTTAGGTATATGTTAAATAATATAGAATTTATAATACATCCTTGACGTACTCCCTTACAATATGGGAAAAAAGAGGTACTATGTTCAGATTGCCTTACTGCACATCTTGATTTGGAATAAAGGTTTTTAATTAGGCTATAGACATTACCACCAACCCCATTTCTAAGTAATTTTAATAGTAAGCCATTGTGCCAAACAGAGTCAAATGCCTTTTTGAAATCGACAAAGCATGCATATATCTTTCCATTTGTTTTTTGATTAACGTATTTATCAAACAATGATTTCAATGTAAGAATATGATCAGCTGTTCGATATCCAGGTAAAAATCCGATCTGAGATGGATGGATTATGTTTTTTTCACGTGTATAATTGTGTAACCTTTCATTCAGTATTACAAAGAAAAATTTGCCGAGACAACTAGAAATGCAAATTCCTCTGTAGTTATTACAATCAAGCTTGTCATCGGATTTAAAAATTGGAGTAATTAGACCTTCACACCACACATCTGGGAATACTCCTGTTTGCAGGATTAAATTAAAGAGTTTCATGTATCCTTGAATGAGGATATGTATACTACATTTTATCATCTCATTTTTTATTCTATCCGAGTATGCGGATTTATTTCTTTTGAGTTTTTTAATTGCATTAACAATTTCTTGTTCTGAAATTACTTGGTCTAGATTATTGAATTGGTTTCTATTTTGTTCCTTGATATGCAAGGTTTCGATCATATCGTGTTGTTCTTTGTTGAGAGTATGTTTTGAGTGTAATTTTGTAAAATGGGACAGCCATTTTGCCTCAGGAATGGGAGTAGTAGTTTTGTCATTAGTTATATCATCATTAACTGTTTTTAGTACTTTCCAAAAAGAGTTTGGGTCTTTTTCAGCTGCTAGTTCTAATTCATTAACTTTTCCCTGGTAAAATTGATCTTTCTTTGTTTTTAATGTTTCTTTATAATCTTTTAATGTTTTGTGATAAGGCGTAAAAAAACCCCTGTGGTTCCGGTTTCATATCGTGAAAAAATTAGGGTCGGTAGGTCGGAAATAAATTTTTTTTTTGAATATTTTTTTCATGGTTTTGGCGGTTTTTTGCTGGGCGATTTGCAGTTGAGTATTTCCTATGGACGAATTTAGGCAATTTGGTTCAATAATTAGTGTGACAACAGATGCCATTTTGGCACGCTGTATGAGCAGCCCGCAACCACCTGGAGAAAATAGGGTTGCACGGTCAATCGCGTTGAAAAAATAATAGGGTCGGCAGAATAAAATAGGGTCGGTCGGGAACCGGAATCACAGGTATTTTTTTTACGCCTAATTACTTATGATATCAGTGTTCAGTGGGTCCCTATGTTTTCTATTTGCTAATTTCCTAACAGCGTGTCTTTTAAGTCAGCATTCTTTATCAAGCCATTTTTTATTAGTAGTGTTTCTAATTTTACAGCGTTTTTTTTGTTTTCTTTATCTTTAGAGAGTTCTTTCCAGCTTCTTGTATAATGTTTTGGAATGTATTTAGACACATATGAATTCATGCCCTCGCTATTTGAAGGAAAATCACTGTTTAGAAAAATTTGAAGTTTTGTTTGAATTTGTGGGGATTTAAGACTTTCAATATAGGCTCTATCAGATGTATTTTCCCATATGAATTGAGGTAGGAGTTTATGAGAGTAATTACTATGAGGAGTATCAGATGAGTTTCTGTCAATTGCTTTTTGACATTTATCCAAGTTATAATATGACTGTGATCGGAGAGATAATTTGGAGGTTTCACAGTAAAATAGTTAATATTTTCTTGTAAGTTAGTATTACCATGGATTGTAAAATAACTGGATACTAGGAAACTTCTGACGTCATTGGCCGCAACCTTGTTGAAAAACGTGACGTCACGCGTATTGCGAATATTACCAAAGTTCTCGGCATTTTTGTTGTTTTGCTATATTTTCCACTTTAAAAGGGTGATATTGAAGCAATATTAAACTGGTCTAATTGTCTTAAAAACATGCCTAAGCCACGACAAAGTATTCAAGGTAAATGTTTTTCGTCTTTGTTTTGTATTTTTTTACATTTGTAGCTATGAAATTGGCGTCACAAATTTTAATGAAATTTGTGATGTATTTTTCACTGTTTAGTGTTTGAAATATTTGCTAAAATTGACTGGGAATACTTAGGGTTTTCATCGTAGAATGGCGTGGTTATATTTATTTGGTCTTTCACTAAATTGTTTAGCTGTATTATTGCTAAACATGCCGTTTTTGAGAATTTGGTTTTCAACTAGGTTGAGGCCAGTGAACTCTAATAATAACTGGAAGGCTAACTCCTATGATGAGAGTCTATGATTCGTTGAAGCCGGCGCGCGGGAAAATCAGCTTTCAAAAGGACTAAGGAGAGTTTCGAGGAGTGAAAAAAATTCTGTCAAAAGTTTGTTTTCGAGCAAAATTTTGCAAGAAAAACACTTTTCCCATGGGAATACAACAATGATTGGGATTTAAACCAAGTTTCCGATTAGTTCTGACTGTTTTACATCTCTCCGCAGCAAAAAGTAAGGAATTTTGCTTTTGTATTTTGAAAAAATGACGAAAGTTTGGACGTGCCGAAGGAAATCTCGCCGTTCAACTAAAAAATATATACCATAAAATATTTTGACAGTCCCAAAACTTATGTTGTACTAAACCCCAGGTATTGTTATTGATCCTGAGCTTTTAGTCCTTGTTTTAGTCGCTCTTAAACACAAATAAATTGGCGTTTTCAAGTGATGTTATTTTCGTCATCGGCATCTTGTTGGCCACTATGAGCACTTTGAATATGGCAATATTTTTGTCAATTTTCAAATGCTTTTTTTCGACCTTAAAACGTTAAATCTTCTTGAAACTTCGCATACAGATGTATTTTGCATGGGTATAAAAAATTCCTGATGTATGACGTCTTAGTTTTATCTTAAACTTCCAAAATCTCAGAAAAAGCAGCCTAAAACGCGCGGTTTTTCAGATCGTTCATGCTTATGGCCGTGTTTTTTCGTATTTTTTTGCTAATTCGTGATTTGTTTGCTTTGCGAATATTAAATTCATTTATCATACTACTGATATAAATTAAATTTGGTAGTATAACTAATATTTTTGGGCAAGATTTTTCTGATCAAAAAATGTGCATATTTTGAAAAAAAAATTTAAAAAGGACTGGGTCTACCCACAAAAAAAGCTTCAAGCACGGCTTCAACTCCCCCCCCCCTGACTTAGCCTTCCAGTTATTATTAGAGTTCACTGGTTGAGGCATCCAACCATGCCATCAGCCGAGTGAAAACATTAGGTCACGTCAGCTAGTTTCCTATCCATTTATTTTATTATCCATGGTATTACATACAGCATAATCTATTGTACTAAAACCATTATTTTTACGGTAGGTAGGTTTTCCAAAAGAGTCGCCTTTGGTCCTACCATTCAAAATTCGGTATGATCATATTTTATATAAAATTAGTATATATCAGAATAATATATATTTTACCTCTATAAGCAACGGATATCCATTTTTTACACCTTTAATGTTAGACATGAGCATATTGTGTGTAAGAAGACGCATTTTCATAGAAAGATCGAGAGATGGAAACTTGCCTTTCTCAAAATATCTCAATCTCAATGTGCACGTGAGCCCCAAATGTTCATTCCAGCGGTAGTTATTTGAGTGAAAGAGACATTGGGAGGACTGGGGGGATTTGGATTCCCGTGTTCAAGAGTTCCTTTGTCCCCAGCTCGTTGCCAGCAAATATTTCACCATTTTGAGGGGCATGTTCCCTAGTTTGCATGCCCCCTTGTTGCCCATGATTTTTTCGGCGAAAACCCAAGGGAGACCTCCACTGCACAAGGTAGTGAGCTGAGTGAACCATTGAAATGAATATAACTGGAACGCTACCGAGCAGAGTTTCGCAGTGCCGATTACACGAGAAGACCCCCTCGAGAAGAACCCCACGAGAAGACCCCCACGAGAAGACCCCCACGAGAAGACCCCCACGAGAA